TACATGCATACATACACACACACAAATACACATGAGCACACACGTATACACATGTATACACACACGCACTCACACACACACACACATACACAGACACACACACACACACACACACACACACACACACACACAAATTCAGGAGATGTGTATTAGAATTTATGATGCGCACATCTGTGAAGTTTATTCGCTCTGCTGTAGGATTTAGGTTTCAGTGGCATGGCTGGCATGTATTGCCCATCCGTAATTGGCTGGCCTGCCCATTGCTGTGGGTCTGGAGTCACGTGTAAGTCTGATGAGGCAACAATGGCAGATTTCCTTCTCCCAGGGTTTTCAAAGACAATCATGGTCTGACAGGGCTGGAATCTAATGGGGCATTGTGAGATATGGTGAGAAGTGTGGCCGAATGGGATGGGAAGCCTGGTGGGGCCCACCTTGATGTTGCGTCTCCCTGCCTTAGGAAGGATGTTTTAAACTCGAAAGGGTGCAGAAAAGATTTACAAGGATGTTGCCAGTTTCAGAGGATTTGAGCTATAGGGAGAGGCTGAATGAGGCTGGAATGTTCGAGGCTGAGGGGTGACCTTATAGAGGTTTATAAAATCAAGAGGGGCATGGATAGGGTAAATAGCCAGGGTCTTTTCCCCGGGGTGGGGGAGTGCAAAACTAGAGGGCTTAGGTTTAAGGCAGGCAAATGGAACTAGATTAATTTAGGATATCTGGTTGGCATGAACGAGTTGGACCAAAGGGTGTGTTTCTGTGCTGCACATCTCTATGATCCTATGGCAGCATCTTGCTCCAACTTCTGATGCTTTTTATAAGTGGCATGGCGAGATTTTCCTTACGCAATGGTGGGATGCCAATTGATGGGGATCAACGCACAACTTGGCCGTTTTAATAAACCCATTAAACGACAAGGAAACCAGTGCATGCCCCTCATGCGTGATGAGCAGCCCAGCTATTGGGAAGACCTGAGTTCTGAGGAAGGGTCAACGGACCCGAAATGTTAACTCTGTTTTCTCCTCCGCAGATGCTGCCAGACCTGTTGAGCTTTTCCAGCAACTTTGTTTTCGAGCTCACCACTTACTCTGAACGACCTGAGTGTTGCCAACAAGCGAACCAGGACCCCATCCATGGGCACCAGCCGAGCACCCCTCTCCTCCACAGACATTGGCATCTGCTAAGCCCTACACCACACTCTTGTAACTTTGACTGGCAGTGATCTCTGGAAGCACAGGCTTGTATCACAGGGTGCGCCAGCTTAGCGCACAGGGAGAAGCCACACAGCTTGCAGGGTGGACCAGGCTGCACCTCAGGGATGCTCACATATTCACTTAGCACTCACTCGCTCCAAGCCTAGCTCAAATGCTCCCTGCCTTGCAGCGCCTCATCTTGGAAACCACAAGGGGGATGTACAGACTCTGTACAGATATTCACCTGAGGCTGGAATTGAACCAGGGTCCCTGGCAATGTAAGGCAGAGGTGCTAACCACTGTGCCACCGAGGGGGTTACCAGTCAGGGCAGTCGGAGTCAGGACTCTCTGCATGTTGGGGTGAGAAGCTGTATGTCAGGCAGCCCACCCTCCATTTTGACTCTCTCTGCCTCACTGAGGGCTGTTTTCCTCCTGGAATGAGAGAGAGGGAGGTACTACAGGAGACAGAAGGGGGTGGCACAGCTGTTGTTTGATTTATTATTGTCACATGTACCTAGGTACAGGGAAAAGTCTTGTTTTGCGTACAGTACAGGCAGATCACACCAGAAAAGTGCATTAGGGTAGTGGAACAGAGCGAGGAATACAATGTTACAGCTGCAGAGAAGATGCATAGAGAGAGCGAGATCAACATTCAATTTAAAATTTGAGAGGTCCAAACAGTAGGCTCATGACTGTAGGGAAGAAGCTGTTCTTGAACCT